GTCCCTATTTCTGGGTAATTGAACATGGGAATTGTCTCCAATTTTATTGTTATTTTTATATTTTAGTATATAATTTTATAAGCTTAATATAAAAACTATCTAAAATATACGTATTTTTTTCATTTAGGTGTCTATATTTTTTTGTCAATTTAAATATCTAAAGTTTTTAACATTGTCGTTTAGGTATCTACGCCGTAACGATCGTTAAAAATCAGTCAATCAATCAATATTTGACATGCAATATGATTTTTTTATTTCCTTTCATTCTTTAAAAAAATAAAATTAATAAAATTTCGAAAAACTCAATATTTTTTTCATAAAATATCCTAAGACTTTTAATTCCGACGAAGATCACCGACTCAACCGTCGACCACCAGCTCGACGACCACTCACCCGCTAATTGGGATAGATGTGTCTTGAGATTTAAAGATTTAGGAACTTTTGGGGGGGGGGGTTGAACCTACAATTAATGGTTGACGATGGCTGGGTAAGCTTCGATCGATGGGTAGAGGACAAATGGGGATGGCAACGATGGTGGACGATCAACAAGTGAAATGGATATTTTGTGATTAAGAATTTTAATTTTTTTTAGATTTTAAAAATATTTTAAGGTGTTTTAGAAATAATAATAATTTAAATATTTTTTAATTTTTTTAAAAATTTATAAATATGACCCATGTCATATTTTGAGTGGTTGACGATTTTTTTTAACGTATAGCTTAGACATCTAAATGATAACATTGATAACCTTAGGATAAAAGGAATTAAGTACTTAAATGTATTTTAGATATTTTAGACATCTAAATGATAACATTGATAACCTTAAGATAAAAGGAATTAAGTATTTAAATGTATTTTAGATATTTTTTTATTAAGTAATTTTATGTACATATAGTCTACCCGCCATATACATCAATTCATTGACAAGTTCTAAGAACTAATAGAATAATTAAAAATATTAAATTTCAATGGAGTATTGTTGTCATGCTTTTACATGTTAAAATGTGTGAAAACCTAGATTTAGATTAGGGATGGCAACTGGCGGTTTCAGGTCGGGTCCCTCCGTCCCGTCTCTATTTAAAAAATTCGTACTCGTCTTCGTTTAAAAAACTACGAGGATTTAAATGAGGATTCCCATCGGGTAATCAGGGAAAATCGCGGGGAAAACTGCGGTGAAAATTACCCATTTAAATAACCGTTTACCTTAGATGGTTATTTTTCACTGCGGAGATTCCCGTTATCGTTTAAATTTCACACGATGACGCGAGTTATTTAAAAAATAATGTCATTATCGGATATAAACTTACTTGAAACGCTAAACACCACCAAATGCATCCAAAATATAAAAACAAAACAATTCAAATAGACAAATACAATGACAACGACTAATAATATAATGTTTCAACTAACATAAACGAAATCATTCTTCAAAAGTTTCAACTTCCAAGTTACGTCAACGACACCACCACCGTCATCAAACAATTGTGACCCCCGATTGCTATAATTACACAAAAAAAATTATAAGCTACCAAAATTTATATAAAAAAGTTAATGATATCACATATAACTTGTATATCAATTTAGTACCTCGTCACCATCATCACGATCATATTCGATGCTTTTAGAATATGCTTCGGACTCTTGTGAACAAGTTGTTGTATTTATTAATTTATATAACATATCATATCAACAATACAATTATATATTTTTTAATTTAAATTAAATTTATTAATATTATATATATATATAAAATAATTTTTTTTAATATTTATCGAGTCGGGTATTCGGGTAATTGGGGCGGGGATTATCAAACCCGTTCCCGTCCCCGTTTAAAAAATTCGGTTTTTCCCCATCCCGTTTATCATCCCCAAACCCGACCTGTTTAATTCGGTTTTCGATTTTCCCCGACGGGTTCGGGGTTTTTTTTTGCCATCCCTAATTTAGACTCTCATTTATTTTGCATTCTATTATTTATAATCAATGAGTGATAATATATTATTCATTGCAAATACCTTAGCTCACAATGTACAACCAAGGGTTAAAAAAAACTTCACTAGAAAATTCATTTTGGAGCTAAAAAAAAAAATACAATGATGAAAAAATGAGTAATTTGTTCACCCTGTTACATATTAGAAAAAATAGAGAACTAGAAATTAGTTTAAATTTAAATTTCTCCATCATAAGATCCATTATCAGCCTTTTTATTGTTCTCAGATTTATGGGTTTAAGTGTATACAATCTATTTCCATATCTAATGTATCAAACAATGGTGCATCAATTCAAAATTTTTATTACAACATTTTTAGAATATGAGTTGAAATTAATTATTTGAGGCTTAAAGAGTTTTACGAGGGTGAGAGTTAGATTGGATGTTTGGTTTCCATTAAAGCGGAAGAAGGATAATTCCCATATGTTCACAGTGAAGCCTGCCTATAAGGTTTTGACAAACCTGACGCAAACAGAAAACAATGGTCCTTGGAAATAGGTTTGGAACATGCAAGTTCCGCAACGAATCATAACCTTTCTCTGATTAGCTCTCCATGAAAAGCTGTTAACTGATGGAGAACGGCGTTGTCGACACCTTGCCTCATCATCAACCTGTACCCTCTGTCATGATGATGATGAAGATATGTTCCATGCTCTTCGAGGATGCCCCATAAACTTTGAAAATTGGCGTCGAGTTATCGGTATAAACAAGATCCAGGATTTCATGCAAATGCCGAATGAAGAACAGATTTTGGCCAATACGAGGAACCTAAGGTGATTTTGTTGACCGAAGTAACAATCCGAGACAATAATAAAACCTGAGAAAAAGTAAAAGGAAGAAATCAAATTCATTATAATAAAAAATAATTAAAAAGGAAATAAAAATACTCTTTTATATTTGATATTGTGATCGGAATCAGTTGAGACATGTCGCTAAACAGTTTCCTTAATACATATTTTCGGCCACTCCTTGGTGCTTGAGATTTTTTGGTCGTTTGTCTCACAGGATACAACAACTTAATGATAAACTACAGTAGCACAACAGTAGAGATCATGAATTTTCCTTGCCTTCGACTATCACCGAAAAAACTAAGGGTGCGTTTGGTTTACGGAATGTAAGATTATTAGTGGGAATAAAAGATTACCAGAGAATAGGATTACTGGGAATGTTACATTACTGTGTTTGGTTGGTTTGGCAGGAATGTAAGATTACTGTGTTTGGTTGAAGGAATAAAAGATTACTGGAATGTATATTTTACTAAATTGTCATTGTTCTATAATTTTAACAAGTAAAATTCTAAATATTTAAATAAAAATTATTTATATAAAATTCTATCTGTTGATAATATATTACTTGAGTATTTAAATATATCATGTATTAATTTAATTTTAGTTAATATTAAATTTTACATAATTTATGGTAAAAATATATTAAAAATATATTAATGTTTACATTGTGGAAACTAGCTTCAGTTCATATGTGACGCATTCACTGGGAGGTTTCTTGTATTTTTCAATTGACAAGGTTTACATTCTTCTATATACAATAATTTATCATAGATATTCATAATAATATAAGATGTAAATTATTTTTGTTATCTAAGATATAATATTTATTATATCTTCTATATACAATAATTTATTTATTTATCTTTTATATTTATACTTAATTCTGCATATTGTATCATTATTATTTATCTCATAAATTTATATTACAAAAACATAATTCAAATAAGTAAGAAAATAATAGTCTTGTGATATAAGGCACATGTTTAATTGATTATACTATGCATCTACTGCCCTAAGATATTCATAACAATGTTCTTAACCTTGAGGTCGTGGGATCGAGTCCCATGGAGGATATTTCATAATTTGGAGGTCTCCTACGGAAGCTGCTCTCAACCTAGTGTTGTGGGCAGTCTACTATCTTACCTCCCCCTTACCCCATTACATATGGGAACAAGGGACAACCATTTAGATGACATTAGAATAGTATATGTATTCATTGCATTAGTAACTTAATAATAGACATACCGCTCATAGGCTCATAGCATTATCATTTTCAATAGCGTATACATATAATAACCACAATAGTAATATTCATATCCATGTCTTTTCGTCTTCAAGAATTCAACTACCTTTCATCAGATCACTAGAAATCATCATAGAGTTCATAACAACAATTGACACACTCGAAGCAAGCGAGAGCGGTACAGATTTGTGACAAAACGATTGTGCATTAGTTACTCATATACGGACAATTGTTGTGCGCATTTTCAATTGTTGTTGTATTAGCAGTTCTCTCAGTTTTGACATGTGTGACATTTTCGTCATGAATTTTCAACTCAATTATTGCAGGTATATTTTCTTGTTCTTGAAATTTGTAGCCTCTGTAATTCCAACAATTGAGTATGACTACACCATAGACTTTGATCTTGGCAGCACCAGCACTTAATTAGTGGTAAACCATCAATAACTGAAGGCTTTCTTAGCTTTCAATCCAATTTATTGTTCTTGAAATTTGTAGCCTCTGGAATTCCAACAAATGAGTATGGCTAAACCTTCATTTCTTTATCTTTTGGTGTACCACCTGAAACCTGCTTTGTAATATCCAAGCAAGGAATTATTATCCGTGACCCCACACTTAATTCTTCAATGCTCAAAATTTTGGAAGTCGAGCAGTACCTAAGGGGTCTTGAGACTTTAAACCCAAAATTTTTATGAAGTATCTTTGTGTATATACTATATATGTTCCTCATTCTTGTTACCTGACTCAGTTGAATCCTTCTTTTTATTGGAATATATTCAATTTGCATAACCAATGACCTATGAGTTTTTTAAGTAAATTCCTAGATCAAAAAGATGTATGCTAAACATAATAGGCCACTTATGACTAAAATTATCTTACAGGTCAGCCCAGGTCTTAGAACGGAATAAAAAAAGTCCAAAACATTAAATCAAAGCAAATATGAAGTCCATGAATGATAGTGATAACAACACATTGAAAAACATTATCAATTCCCTACCAAAAGAAGATTGGCAGCACGAGAGACGTCATGAGGATGGTAGCTTTGATCATGTCAAGGTCCTCGATATCTAGTCCAACAGTTTGTCCTCAATATCTAGTCTAACTTGTGAATACAAAATGTTCTTTGTTTAAAAAAATAATAATGATAATGATATAATACAGTCTTTGGATACAGGTGAATCTTCACAAATAGCTCTTCGGATGAATGATAACCATAAAATTTCTTTGCTCGTACAAGGCTGCAACCATGGACATGCTGCTGTTTTGAACCAGAACCACCTTTCAGCTACAAGTTCAATTCAAAAAAATTCACACCATATCTACTGCATCAGCAACATAGCAATCGAAAAAAGGAAAAAAGCACAAATCAACAATCACAACTCCATGAATTTAACTGAACATACCTTCAAGGCTTTTTCTGAGGCAAGAGCTAAGGCATGCGTGCATGCATCATCTGTTATAAAATAAATAAGGAGTGCAATTTAAATCAATTATTACCCATACAATAGACAAAATGCAAAGAGTATCAAACATGCTCAGTACCTTCCTGGTGTGTAGGAGTGCTCTGAGGTAACAAATCCGCCAATGGAACATATAAATAAGGCAAAGCCTAGGAGAAGGAAAATGCAACAATCAAGACCTCATAGAAAAGGAAGTAATTATAGTTAAACAAACTCAAATAAGCACTATAAATGGTTCGTTCCCATTCGTACTTAAAAGGCTTAGTTAATAATATATGCAAATACAAAACAAATAACACCTCGACCATTCATAAAAGACAACAATTTTCTTAATTAATTACAAACCCAAACCAATAATCAAGAAAGAAAATAGAACAAGAATCTTACTCTATGAATATGCAAACAAGTCTTCTGACCAGCCGGTGTCGAACCATAAATTCTTATAACTGGAACTTCATTAACTTTTCCACCTTCAAAAAATTCAGTAATTGTAGCTTTTCAAAAACAACAGTAGCTGAACAAAGTTTTAGAATTATTCGGTAATAAAAAGAAAAATTGAAAAGGAAGCGATACCTTGAAAGCTACTGTAGCAAATATCGAAGTCGGGAATTGGCGGTGCCATGTAATGATCAATGGACACAATTCGAACGCTGAAAACGCTCGAATCCGACTGCGAGTTTGACATTTTCTATTTCTCCTGCTTTTACGAAAAACAAAATTTAGAGAGAATGAGAGATTTTGATTGTTTCGTTTTAGCAGTTTAAAGAACACGACACACAGTAAAATAGTTAATGTGTTTGAATGGAGGTAAACATAGAGAAAGCAAAGGATGAATCTCACCGGGAAACAATGAAATTTTCGCAACTTAGCACGGAAATAAAATAAAACCTAAAACATTCTAGGAATAAAACCCCAAAATATACTATTAGTATGATAACATTACCCTCACTTGAGAATCATACCCCAATTAAATATGGGTATCCTTTATCAGGAAACCATGCCTACTGGGAATGGTAAATTCTTTGATCCAAACGGGCCATAAGGGAAAAAAGAATATTTTCTAAGAAAGAGAATATTTTTCAAGAGAAGAAAACTTCTTGAATTCTGAGATATGAAAAATTGAGAGGATTGCTCAGTATTTATAGGGGAATTTTGAGAGAGTTTTACTCAAACTAAAACTCTTTTAATATCTAAATTTAAACAGAAAATAATATATTTTAAATTTAAAATATTAAACCTGAGAGTTTTAATATAATCAAAACTCTTTTAATATCTAAATTTAAACAAATAATATTATCTTTTAAATTTAAAATATTAAACCTGAGAGTTTTACTCAAACCAAAACTCTTTTAATATCTAAATTTAAATAGATAATAATATTTTTTAAATTTATATATTAAATATATATTTTCTCCTTTTATTATTCAAATTAAATAAATATTATTTTAATTTGCAATATTTAAAAGGACTCTGAATTTAATATAAATATCAAATCCATCGATGTAATTCACCCTTTCCAATAATCTCCCACATGAATGAAATTGATGATTTAATCAAAAACATTTTGACTCTATGTGGTGATAGCCTGTACGATTGATAGTTGTATAGGATATGTAGGTGTCCTCCTTAGGACATTCCCTTGATAGTATATTTACTTTATTGGTTAAACAATAGACACGATGTCCTTGAACTGTTTTGTCGTTTGTGTAAACGATAACATACTTAACACAACTACCCCTTTGACAAGAATTTAATACCCGTGGGTATGTCCATAAAGCCTTGGACATTGCCTGATTCTGCAAGAGTTTGAGAGAACTATGCCCGATAGTCTCCTTGAAGTGACCCCACTTCACTCTCACATAGGTGAATTATGTTGCTCGACTCACCGCAACACACATTGATCATTAAAAGCCTAGCGTAGCCTATACTGTATCACCCCGAAAACTGAGTTGGTAGTTCAGGCTAACCCGAGTTGGACCTTGAGTAAATCCCTTACCCTAGGAGAGACCTTGACCCAAACTTAAGTGGAATTGGGCTTTGATTGGAGCCTAATAGTTGGTGCAAATGAGTGTTTATAAAAGTGGACAAATAGAGGAGTGACCAAAAGTGTAATTTCACAAATTTTCAAATAGAAAATTGAATTCCCATTTAAAAAGGATGATATCACGTATGCCATCTCTTTTTCTCCACCAAAAGCTTTGTATTCTTCTTCCTTATTCAAACACTCTCATTCTTCCCCTTGTTTGAACAAAGATTACAATTTGGAAGTCTTGCAGCTTTGGTTTATTATTTTGAAGGTAAGAATCCTAATCCTCACATCTCAAGCTTTAATTCAAACCCACAATCTCTTATTTCCACCATAGTTTCCCAAAGTTTGGGTTTAGAATGGATTTAGGAAACTATAGCAAATTAGTCTTTTTTAGGGATTTTAATCTCTAAAGACGTTTTAAATGCCCATCTAGGCCTCTCAACAAGTCTAGTAACCTATATGTTTGATTCTTGTTTAAAGAGAGAAATTGGACGAAGCTCCAATAACAAAGGAAAGGAGAAGTTTACCTTGGGTTGAGCCTTGGACCGTTCCAGCAGTTAGTAAGCAAAGGCAACTCACTCTAAACTCATCTATACCACAATGTAGGTCACCAATGTGTTTCGATAGGTTGCATGGGCTATAGAGCATATTCATGGTAGAAATCGTAAATTGGTTTTTAGCATGTTTAAAGCCTCTTTATGCCTACTTTAATCATACATAGCATTTTAAAGATAGTTGGGACCCTTAATAGGACCTTTAGAGCGGAAAGGTTGCATTTTTGTGCCCAAATAGTGTATTTTCGAGCGAGGGCATCAGTATTGAAAGAACAGTACAAATACTGTTCCTAAATCAAAAAGTAAATTCAATAAGGGGTATTGATACCAATTTATAGAGTATCAATACTACAGGGTCGATCTCGATACCCATGGGGTGGTATTGATACCGAGATCACTTAGCAAATTATAATAGGCAATTTTGGTACTGATACCTAAGGTGGTATCGATACTGTACCGATACTCCCTATAGAGGTATCGATACTTAGTGAATTATCAAAACATCGAAGCTAAAAATGGTATCAAAATACTCAAGGTTGGTGTCGATACTCAGGGGTCAATACCAATACTGAAGGCTTGGTATCGATACCCACAAACAATTTTGGGTAGAGAACTTAAGGATTTCAAGAGTGGATTTAGGTGTCCCATCTATTTCAAAATACTAAGAAATAAAACTACAAGTGAGAATGTTAATTTAACTCAAAATAGTTAGAAACAACAATAGCTAGGATGAAATAAAACTACCCTTGTTTGACGTTCGGGACACGACCAGGACACCCGAGCTACTCTAGTGGATACAATCGTATAGTCAAATATCCCAGTCAGTGCCAAGGCATTTAAACTGCGAGCTAGGTACAGATGTCCCAAGACTCAATGGAGTGAGTTGGCCGGGTGTTCGTCTCTGATGCAAAATTTTGGATCTTACCCTGAGTACCTTCAGGTATTTTGATACGTTAGAGGGGTGCGTGAGCTCCGAGATGCAGAACCCTTAGCCGCACTATGATGCCCGCCATAGTAGGATAAATCAATATCTTATATGCCTTTATACCTATGCCACTAGCTAATACATTTATTGAATGCATGTAGTGTAGTAAAGTTTTTAGTGAGACACTGGGCTTGTAAGCTCATTGTTCGGAATTTGTTTCCGTCCTCAGGTTAAAAGATCATTCGTGGGGATTTGTCTTCATTAGATGTTCCAGCACAACAAATCAGATGTGGCTGAGTATCTCAGAGTTTGTCTTGCGTCACTTGTAGAGGGCGTTTACTATTATGGACCCTTGTATTACTCAGTCGCAACCTTTGATTTTAAACTCAGTGATGTATTATTATTTGATGAATTTGGGAGCTCCCCTATAATTATAAAACTTAATTAATATGCTTTTATTTATTTAGTATGGATGTATTTTTTTCTGGTTCTTTATAATCGGTTGGCTTTAAAAAGAAATTTTTAGGTTAGCCACTTAGGTGGTCCCATGTGAGATCTTGATTCAGTGATATTCGGTTTAGATTATATTAGGGTGTTATATTTAATGGTAGTAGAGTGTTAGGTTTAGTTGGTTCTAGGACCCGTGGGTTAGAGTCAGTCAGTTTCTGTAAGTGTACATGTTTCTAGAGTGTCAAGAGTACTTTTAAGACTTTAATGACGATATTAACCTATGTTCTTTCCCATTTCAGATGGAAGACGATCCAACCCACAATTAGGATGGTAGGATAAAGAGTCATTCTTCCTTAACAGTCGATTCTAGGGACGAGTTCATCCCGAATTCATATCAGTAGAACGCCCTAGTGGATTCGGGAGTCGAGGAGGCAACCTTATTCAAGGACCTCACCTATGTGCTTAGGTAGATAACCATATCCTGCCCAGTACCTCAGCTGCACCACCTATCCACCAGTGCCCCTGACTCAGCCTGTATGAGCTTCTTAGGAGTCCCTAGTAGAGAGGCTCTATATGTACAAGACGATCGAGTTCTTCGTGGTAGGAGATGATGATCCTATAGTGTCTTAGGGAGACCCTTTGCACCCTCAGACAATTGCATCTCACCCCTGAAGGTAGACTTAAGTGCATCACCGCCCTACTAATGGGTGATGCCATAGACTGGTGGGAAATAGTAGAGCTGGCTTTGGAGCCAAAGAGTCTAACTTGGGAGATGTTCTTGGAGGGGTTTTAGTAGAAGTACATCGGTGAGGCTCACACTGATGACTTGAGGGAGCAATTTATATACTTGGTTCAGGGTGACTGGACAGTGATAGAGTATGAGGGCGAGTTCCTTCGACTGAGTAGGTACATGCATGAGTTAATCTCTAATGATGAGCATCGTTGCCGTAGGTTCAAGGAGGGCCTACACCTTGACATCTAGTCACACTTACCAGTCGACCCTCCCCAAGTTTTCGTTGAGTTATCCCGCCAGGCTAGGGCAGTGGAGAGGGTTTTGAGCAGGAGGTCTAGGAAGGCCGATGAGATGGTAGGGTAAATCAAGAGAGCCCCAGAGCCAGCAAGATTAGTTTAGACTTTGGCCAAGAGGGCTAGAGATGGACAAGGTTCTGGGATACCCCAACAGTATAAATGAGAAAGATTGGGTAGAGTTCTGGTAGATGAGGTAGATCTCATTCTAGGAGGAGACCCTTGACACTGTAATCAGGGGTTAGTATCGATGGGTTGACCAGAGGTGCCACTCACCTTGTTTATGGCTAATGCGGGAGGAGACACCCTGATATGTGTCAGTTAGGGTTTAGGGGTTGTTACAATTACGATGCCTTAGGTCACTTTGCCTGTTACTGCCTAGAAGCTCAGGGAGTGACTCTAGTAGGCACTCAGGGATCGACCCCATTCGAACAGAGATGTTGAGGGTCAGGGAGGAGTGGTAGTACTGCGTCTAGACAGTAGAGTAAGGGACAACTAGATCAGTGGCCAGAGCAATGTCAAGAGTAACCTTTATACAATATGCAATGAGAGCCCACGAGGAGTGTGATGTAGTAGATATGACTTCAGACACTTTCACAGTATTTTCCATTCCAATTACCGCATTGATAGATCCTAGTTGCACCCACTCCTACCTTTACTCTAACCAAGTTTAGGAAATAAAAATCCCAATAGAAGAGTTAGAGATAAGGGTTTGTGTATCGAGCCCTCTAGTTATAGATTTTCTTGTGGATAAAATATATATGCGATTTCCGGT